TTTAAATACATGATTTTTACCAAGTGGAGGTCGTCAGAAGACAAAAAAAAAAGTGAGGAAGGTGCAAGTAAAGTCACACTCAGGGAATTATGAATTGCCTAGAGAATTTGAAAAACAGGAAATAAATATGGAAAAGGGAGGTAAAACATGACACTAGACATGAAGGTGAGGGAGAGATTGTAAAGGAACTTAATAACCAAGCGGTGTAGACTTTAAATGAGAAAATGAGACATTAGTTCTTTCTACCACACAACCCTTGAGTGTAGCGATACTGTATTGATTGAGGCTGTGTCTCCAGAGCTCAGAAGCATACTTGCTATTTAGTAGGCATTTTTTAAAATTTACTTGATGCATCGCTGAATGTTCAAAAATAATAGTTGTGCAAAGTTAGCTTGCAATGGGGTACAAAAATTGAAACAAGGAAATTAGTAAAATATTTTTGTAGGGGTCAGGCAAGAGAATACAAGGGAAAAATGTAGGCGGTGACAATAGGTTTTATAGAGACTCAGTAGAACGGAATACCCTAAAAGGGCTGTGATAAAGTGAAAAGTCCAGTATGACAAAAGAACTTCAAATAACGAATGAATGATGATATTTTAACTAAGACGGGGTTGGTTATACGAGAAAAAGGAAGTTTAAGGGAAATGTTAAATGTGTGGATTTAAACTCACTGAGGACAAGATGTATTTGGAACATGATCTGATAAGCACCAGGCAGCACTATAGGAGGAAAGTAATTCTTTAATTTTAGTACTTATCATGTGAATAAAACTATTATTTAATATAATATAACTGTGCTTAAATTGTGTCATCCATATCTTTTGATAAGAATATTTCATTTCTTATTAAATTCATGTGAAAGGAAGGTAGAAATAGATTAAATAATTGGTTCAAAGATTCCTGAGTTGCAACCAAGGGGAAAAAAATACAGGCATTCAAACTGTCAATGCAAGTTATCACCAAAAATTTTATTGCCTGGTAGACAAAATATAGGCTTGATAGAATGTTAAATAAACTAGAATGATTTAAATCTGTAATCGTTTTGAGGCTGTTGAGATTTGCTTTGATTCTTTATTTTACTGACTGCACATTAGAAATTGCCAAACTAATACAAAATGCTACATCTAGCACAAACTCATTACTTATATGAAAATATTAAATCTCTGAAATATTTTTCCACAAATATTCTCTGAAGGAAAAAAAGACTGGCAAAATACTTTTTTCTAAAGTATCTATGGAACATTTAATGAATGCTTTTCTTTTGTTTTCTTTAATAACAGCATGAGAAAAATATAGTCTTATGATCATATAGTTTCTCCACACCACCTTTATTGAAATCGTCATAAGTGATGAGAAGTATTTGAAAAATATATGTTGGTCTGTAGTTCCTGAAAATCCCAATGAAAAGAAATTGTTATTATCTAGACCAGAAAAGAACTATAAAAGAGTTTGTGATTCACTGTCTCCAGAATATAAATAAGTGATTCCTTAGAGGATCTTCATTCTAGTGGAGTTTAAAATATTCATAACCATTTCTAGGCTATTCATGAAGGACAATCTACGAAATTCACTTTGTGCAACTTGTAGAAGCATCTTTGAAGATTTCTTAAATCAAATCCACGAGACTTCTAAAAAAGATCTGGGGATTTCGAGAACTGACTAACATTCAAGGAGCTAAGTTTGTCCACTGACTTCAATACAATGCAAATACTAGGATTATTCTGTGACTTGAGGCACTTGAGATAACTGGCTAAAATTGTACAAAAGGAAATAAACTAAATATTTTGAAAATTTAGAAAGAGATAGATAATAAATTACCTGCAAATATATTTTCCAAAGGCAATAATATACAATTTTTAGATATTGAAAAAGGAGACAAAAAACCATTGTTACTAATTTACTTCTCTCACCTAAAAGTAACTTAAAGACTAGCATTCTAATTTTTATAAATCCCTTTATATTTATCTTTTTTCTTGATTATAAAGGATAATAATGGACTGTGAAGTTTGCCCATATTCTTAACAGTATAACTAACTTCCCTATGAAAACCACTAGGAAAAAAATTACAGGTTAGATGTCAGCAGAGGTCCAAAAATACAACTCCTTAGTTCAATTAACAGCTGCTTTTAATTGGTGCTACAGCACAAAATACAAAAGATGAAGAGCTCAAATATGAAACTTCTAATTCACAGGCAACCAGGGAGTCTTCATTTGATTCTTTATTATTTTTAATGAGAAGATGGAACCTGTCACTGATGAATTTTGAGACTACCTAAACTGTCTCCCAAAGAGTTATAGATAAAACTAATTTCAAAATACATTGTATTCACATAGATTAGAATCTTGCTGAAATATTTCAGTATTACTTTCTTGGGAATTGTGACATCAGTAAGGAAAACCATCTTGTTTATATGAAGCACCTACTAATCTTGGCTCTATGGGAAGTGACCTTGAGAAACACAAATAGATGTGATGACAATGTTACCATAAGAAATGTTGCTGTGGGAGACTTTCAAGGAAGAGGTGGTGTTTACATTCTAAGGAGATGATGTGGTGAGATTAGAGAGAGAAGCAAATCACAAGATAAATCTGGCAGGTGAATACCAGAAGCAGAGGCAAAAGGAGACAGGATTGAACAAGCATAAGCATTAGTGAAAACTGGTAGAGCAATGGATACGAAAGCTAGTTAGGAAAGATGAGGTCCATCACAGGAGAGGATTGGCTAACAGCATGAGACTTGGAGCATTTAACTAGCAATCCTGTCTGAAAGGCACCCATAGCATAAAGGTTAAGCTCTAAAGTTCTGAGACAGACTGCCTGATGCTGCCATTTACTAGCTATTTGACTTTGGACAAGTAGTTTAATTTTCTATCCCTCAGTTTCCTTATCTGTGCAACAGGAATAATAATGGTATGTAGCAATACAAGTGCAGTGCTTGCAAGCTCTTTTTATTCTAATAAGACTGGCATTCTTAACCAAAAGTATTCCTCTGGCAATAATGATCAAATATATTTAAAAGGTATGAATCTGTAGGCAAGGGAAGAAAACCTCTGGCAATCAGCACTGTCGTTACCCAAATATTTCCCCTTAGCATTCGTAATCCATTGTCGTCTAAACTGGAATACTGTTCTCAGAATTTTTTTTTTTTGTTGTTGTTGAGTTGGAGTCTCACTCTGTTGCCCAGACTGGAGTGCAGTGGCCGCTTTTGGCCACCGCAGCCTCGATCTACTGGGCTCCGGTGATCCTTCCGCCTCAGCCTTCCAAGTAGCTGAAACGACAGGCGTGCGCTACCACGCCCGGCTAATTTTTTTTTTTTTGATTTGTTGTAGAGATGAGGTCTCGTCAAGTTGCCCAGGCGGGTCTCGAACCCGCGGGCTCAGGCAATCCACTCACCTCGGCCTCCCAAAGTGCTGGGATTACAGGCTGAGCCACCGAGCCCAGACGAGAATTTTTTATATTTAAGTACAAGCATGACCTTTTGTTTTCCCCACATTGCTACCTAAATCTTAGCATCAGTCTCCCATCTCCAAGTTCTCCAAAACCGATGGCCAAATAAAAGACTCCATGATGAACTTTCAGGTTTGAAACCTGGATCTTCTCCCTAGGCCCCTAACCATGAGACTGCTGAGAGTTCATTTGACTTCAATAATTGCTGATAACGTTCTTTATTCATATTTGGGTAAAATTAACGACTTTGAGGAACATTACAGAATATAAGTTAATATTCACTACAAAGGGAAAACTTCTTTGGGTTCTAATTTTATGTATGATAAATTGGGAACTTTATTACTACATTTAACCTTTAGCACATCTTTCTTAAAATATAGATTCAAATGTAAAATCTAGCATTTGCATACATTGTACTAATTTGTAATGGTCACCCTTTCTAATCTGCAAGAGTTTGAGTTCATAAAAGGGACATGAATTACAATGAGATTAATATTTTCATCATTGGTACACACAATTTCTTTCCAGATCTTTTTGTTTGTAAGGATAAATGGTGCATAGTGCAAATTGAATTGCTAAACATTTCAATAAGCAGCAAGAAATATAGAAGTAAAAAGTAAATATGTCATATATGCTTATTTCTGGTGAATAGCCTTTCCCCTTCATCTGAAATGAATTTATCTTTTAAACTTGGGCAATAGGGCAGAAAAAAATGCATTCTCTTCTTTGAACTAAATCAAAGTTATTTACGTCAAATATTCTACCTAATAGAGGTATATTGGGAATGATATTATTTTTTTAAAAAATAATATAAAAATAATATCTCTATTTTATAGATTGTAAACAGAGGTTCACTTTCTAATCTTAGCTTCTGCACTAGACTACAAAATCAGAGTAACTTATTTTTCATGTACTGCCATCATTGCTCTGTTGATCAAATCTATGTCCAATGAAGACATGATCAGGAACTATTACAAATCCTATCCACTTTGTAGCATTCATCAATCTACTAAAATTTTTCTGCTTGAAACCCCTTAAAATTAGACTATGACTGATGGTTTATAATTTCCTATAGAGAACTTATGAATTTCTCCTTTCTGCTTTGCCTGAGGACTATTTCAGAAATGCCCACTCTAATGGAAGTCAGCCAGAATTGTTATACTACCTTAGAAGTTTTATCACAACTGCAGAAGCAGCTACAGTAACTGCTTAAACTTGTTTTACTTGTTGGTTGTCTTTTAAGGAAAAACTAAAGGACAAAAAGAACATAGCCTAAACAAACAATTGCAGGGCTTTAAGAAAAGAAATGCTTAATTCCTTTGTAATTTATATTGTAATTCATGTCCCTCTTATGAACTCAAGAGGAAATAGTGCTATACAGAAATATAGAGATGCCCATGTATAATATGAGTACTTTTATAGAAGCAGGTTGGAAAATGAAATTCCTATTAATAAAATACAAATAATTTAGCTGCCACAGCTGGATATCTCTTAACTGCAGCACATAATTCTGTAATTGCTCTAATCCTTGTGTGTTCTCTTGTTCTTTTGCAGGCAGACCAGTAATGATCGTGGTGGAATATATGGAGAATGGATCCCTAGACTCCTTTCTGCGGGTGAGGTGTTTTCTTCCTGATGGCATTTAAATAAGCTATTCTGAGCTCTATATTTAAATCATTTATCATAAATTAATTTTTGCATAATGTTATTCATGGATTTTCTGTGAAGAATAGAGACATTTTCTCTAGAGTTCATTTTCCTGATACTGTGATACATTACAGTGTTTCTAAGGAAGGAGGAGGTATACTTAATAATATAATTGATTTATCCTATAAATTCACTTGCCATATATGTGTGTGTGTGTGTGTGTGTGTGTGTGTGTGTATGTATATACATATGTATATATTCTAAATAGTGATATTGGGTTTTTTCCTAAAAATATTTATTACATAAATATTTAGGATGATATCTTATGCATTTTTTATAATGCTGAACTCCTTAAATTGAATTATATTTAGCCACAGTGACTCAAGTTCATTTCAGAAAACCAGCTCTATCAACTTTGTCTCTTTTAAGTTCATTTGGCTGACTATTCAGAAAGCAAAAGGAGAAAGAATAAAACTCCTTTAGTAGAGATTTACGTTAGAACAAAAATGTTAAAAGTTTTATTTTTAAAGTGACTTATCCTTAATAGCATAGTATATACAAAAAATAATGAATTTTACACAATGCTACAAAATGACAGCAAACTGAGAAGGCAACAGGAAGTTATATTTCAAAGTGTATTTACAATGTGCTTAAGATTTTAAAAGCCACCATATGCTATGAAAAATATATCATTAATAATGAAAAAAATGAAATATAAAAAGTAATCACTATAATCAATATTTTTCATCTCCAGCAAAGGCCACATATTTTCATGCTACTGTATTCCTTAATCTAACTTTCTATCTACAGAGACATAACCGTTTTTCTTGCTTACAAAATGATTGGACTTTGTCATTGGGAATGTGTTGTATTACTTTTCTTCTTTATTTTCATGTAAAAATAAAACATTCCTTTTTCACTTCATTTTTTACCCCATGTTATTTGAACAAGTTCTGTTTGCATCTCACCTTTCCCTCTTCATTCCATTTTCATTTATTTTTCTTTGTTCTGTACCCTCTTCTTCTAGCTTCTCTTGATGTTAGCAGTGATGATACATTGACACTGTGACTGGACGTGATGTCCAGATTCAATACAGGAAGCTGAATTCAGCAAAATCATCAGGTTATTATAGAGCAATACCACTTGTGCAGTGTACTCTCAACCAAGTGCACTCTTTAAGGCAAAATGAAATTCAAAGGTGTTTTGGGGACAGGAACTGTTTGTTCTCTTCTGTAGTTATTCTCAGAAGGTATTATTTTATAGCGTGTGTTCATTTCAGCTGCTCTAAATTATTTTAGTATAATTTATCAGGACCACCTGTAGTTCTTGAAATGCATGTATACTTATACCCTTCCGTTTTGTTTGTCTCAAAAACTCATTTTTATCAGATGCATATCAAAATGACTCATTATCTAATGATGCTTGGGATGGGTTGGTTTTCCTTTTCTTTTCTTCCTTATTTCTTTATTTGTTTTTTTGGTATCAGCTATAGCCTAAAGCAGAATATACTGGCAAGTACTATAGTAGGTAATCTAAATTGCTGCTGAAAATGGGGTTGCATGATTGCCACAAGCAAAGTAGGTGAGAAATACTAACTTCTCACTTAATTTATACACTTTATTCTGCTCAATCGTGAAATTAAAATGTTATTAAAAACAACAATATGTTATAAATAAAATAAAAGATTTACTTATGAACATCCTATTACTTATTTATAAGTGGTGTTTTATGTTTTAAAAACTAGTATTTTTCAGCTCTTATTGTGCACCATTAAGGCATTATCAGAGAGTCTAGGAACTAATTATGTTTAACTGATGGTAGCTACTATTACAACTACTATGGCAACCTGAACACTTATCTCCCCTAATTTTGGCTCTCCTGCTTATGGGCTGTGACCTCACGAATATTACCAAGTTCTCCGAACCTCTGTTTACAATCTATAAAATAGAGATATTAACAGCACCTACCTCACTTCATATAATTGTTATAAAGGTTGAGTTGGTTATTGTAAAACATATAGAATAGACACATTACAAATGTCACAGTAGTGATTCAAACCCAAGTCTCTATAACTCAGAAAGCTATGCTCTCATACACTATGAATTATTTTTATTAACTGGCATACTGCTTTTTCATAAAAGTCTACTACCATCTCTCTATGTGGTCTATGTCCTCTCTGCACATCAGGTTCCTAAAAACCATGATTAAAATGCAAAAAAAATCCAATGTATGGAAAATATAGGGTCAATACTTCCAACTGACCCTTCTTTCATATTCTTATCCTTCTTTGTAATCATACCCCTTCGGTCCCAGACGCTCAAAGTGCTTCTATAAACTTTTTGTCAATATCAGACATTCAACTGCCCCCGGCAAGCAGAAGTAAAATATATAATTATATATAGCCCACAAATTCTCAGAAGCAAAGTCATTTTTCAAACTGCTGCTTTCGAATTTGATAATCGCAGCTTATGTGAGCACAGGAAGGAGGAAGTGGCTAAATGCACTGTGTAGTCGGGAAGCCATCCACTGCTCATTAATAGCCTTCTGTGCTTAGTGGAGGCAGGAAAGATTTCCCTTTGGTCTCCCACACTATTTGAAAATCACTTCAATTTGCTATTTTATTATGAAGGAGAGGTAGCACAACTAAGTACAAGATTACAATCTTCTGCCTGTGCTGGTGGCTGGCTGGCTGCGATATTGCACCAGACTCATAAATCTGCTGTTTGGGATCTTTGTAGACATTCTTCCAGATACATATTGGCAGCAAGGCAGTGTAGGGGTGTGTGTGTGTGTGTGTGTGTGTGTGTGTGTGTGTGTTTACATGTATGTAGAGAAGGAATGTGTGTGTAACTATGTGTGTATTTTTCATTTAAAAATTGAACACATTCTGACTTAGCAAGCAGACCAGCAGCCTAGCTTCCCAGAAGGCACAGCATCACCAAAATGCAGATTTTCCAAGTTTTCCGAGGAAATAAACCAGTGTGAGTTAACTTTAACCTTGACCACCATCCCTGAGTGTTTTTTCTCCAATGGCACACATAGATTACATAAACACTTACCTGAAAACTACTTGGCTCCAAATCTTAGGACCTCCATTTTTATAACAATTTTGACTAGTAAGCCAAATAAAAATAGTTTTAAAATACTCTAAATCTTTGAGATGTCACATGTTAACTGCAAAAAAATATTTCTTTATTTTAACACTTGTTGTATGTGAATTTTGTATCATATCACAAAGTTCAGTTATATCAAAATGTGAGACCACTGATTTTGGTTCAAGATTGAATACTGTGTTCATGCTGTAACCTTCTGTTCATACCTCAAATTCTCACATTTTTTTACAACACATAATCACATGGGAAAATAAAAAAGGGTATCATTCATAAACCAAAAATCTAGGAGAAATTAATAAAGACAAAAAACAAGCAGAATTTAATTGAGTAAGAAAATGATAACTCAAAATATATTTGGGAAAGGATGTTTGGGAGTAAGAGTGAGTGGAAGGTGGTGCTACCAACTGAAATAAAGACAGAGAGGCGGGACAGGATGGACTGATCATTGGGAGGAAAGGGTAGGTTTAATTTTGGTCACGTCACATTTGAGATGCCTGTGAAGCATCCAATGAAATGTCCAGGCAGCAATTCAAAATATAAATCTGAAACTCAGTGGAAAAATACTGGCTAAAGGTAAAAATCTAAGAGTTGATAGCATAAAGGTAGTTACTAAACCCATGATATTTCCTAGGAAGAACTTTTATAGAAAGAAAACAAGTTGAACAAAGCTGGAACCTTTGCCCTACCAACCTGAGAGGCAGCATGGATGGAGTCCCCAAAGTCAATTAAGCATGAGTGTTCAGAGAGAATCCCAAAGTACAAGAGAGTAGAGCATTTTAGGAGCAAATAACAATTGTGTCAAGTGCATGGAGAAATTTTGAAAGATAATGACTGAAAAGCATCTATGGGATTTAGCAGTTAAGAGCTCTTCGGCGGTCCATGAGAATATTGAATGGGCTGGTCCCAGGCAGAAGCCAGATTTCAGAGAGAAAAAAACGAGAATGAAAGACTGACAGGAAGTAGCAGGTGATGATTCTTCTGGAAAAAGCAGGTGACATGTCAAGGCAAGAGATAAGTCAGATGCCAGTAGACTGAAAAAAAACAAAGACTCAAAGTTTTCTTTATTTTTTGGTGTGATAAAATACATGTAACATAAAATTTACCATCTTTGCCATTTATAAGTGGTATTAGAAGTTCATTGATATTAAGTACATTCATATAATTTAAGTGTTCCCATCATCACCATCCATCTCCAGATTGCCTTTCATCGGGCAAAACTAAAATGATAATACCCATGAAATAATAACTCCCATTTCTCTCTTCCCCTAACCCTGGAAACCACTCTTCTACTTTCTGTCTCTATGACTACTCTTACTACCTCATAGAAAAATCATACAGTATTTGTCTTTTTCCGATTGACTTATTTTACTTAGCAAAATGTTTTCAAAGTTTTGTCATGTTGAAGCATAGGTCAGAATCTCCTTCCTTTATAAGGCTAAATAATACCCCATTGTGTGTATATGCCACATTTTTCCTGTCCATTCATCTGGATAGACACTTGGGTTGGTAGCTCTTGTGAAAAATGCTACTATGAACATTAGTGTACAAATACGTCGTCAGCACCTTGCTTGCAGTTCCTTTCAGTGTATATTCCAAAGGAGAATTGGTGGTCATATTGTAATTCTATTTTTAACAGTATGGCAGCACTCTTTTCTGGAGGACTGCCATACTGTTTTCCACAGTGGCTATATCATTTTACATTCCCACCAACAGAATACAAGAGTTTTAATTTATCTACATCCTTACTAACACAATTTTCAGGTGTCTTTCTTTGTTTTATGTTTTGTTTTTTTTTAATAGTAGCCATCCTGATGGGTGTGAAGTGGTATCACATTGAAGTTTTAACCTGCATTTTC